AGAAAATATTTCCTCTTCAGGTTGTAAACAAAAGATGGAATCCTATTCACGTCTTCATTAAACAGCTACTGTAGTACTCGGCAAAATTGCAACAGAATACAAGCACCCTTGCCAAGATCACAGCTTAGTGCCTTGAATTTGGCTGGAGGTGGATTTCAACTTTGTTTTTATGTCTACTTCAGACTTAAAAGGCAAAAAGCCTGGCATAATACAGGGACTCTCTTGTCTGTTATTAAATGAAACACCTCCCCCAGCTCAATGAAGAATTGTGCAAAATCTGGACTTTGATTAAGAAGCTCTACACTTCCATGTGGGGCCGCAGTTGTTCTTGCTCTTGTATAGGAATTTTCACTGTGGGCTACTTAAGGTATGGTGCAAAAGATGAAGGGCCTATGAATCTGAGTCCTTTGTATGTGCTTTTTTTCTGGGGTGAAATTTATTTTAGTTATAGGGCCTTCTGTGCCTGACACATCCTGTTCCTAAGAATAACCTTTTTGGAAAAAAGGTTTGGGGTAAAAAATACCTGGACAAGGTCCCAAGGCAAAATTACATCCATCCTGTTTCAGTCCTCTCAGCGTCTAGTGTGAAATTAAGCTGATACCAAGGGCTGCACTTACTTTGCTTAGGAGCTTTCACTACAGATCTGTGTTGAATTGTGCTCTTGTAGCTAGAGCTGCTGTGCTGAGATGCCTCTTGAATAAAATAACCAATTTCAGTAGATTTATTCTTGAGTAAGGGCTAGGGATACTTGAAGGGCTACTTATCCCGTCTTACCGATCATAGGGAGTATAAGAACTGAAAGCAACTTTCAGGCTTTATTGGGTCTGGATGGTGAAAAATGGGGTTAATTAATTTAATGGGAAAATAACACAGTCAAAATGCTCCCCTACTGGCATGTCTCCACTTAAGATAAAAGTGTAAAACTCTTTGCCTCCTGTAAAGGATAATAGGCACAGTACTACTTTAGTATCCTGCTGTGTGGAATATATGTAATTTATACAAGCTGTTATCCACAGATCACTTTTGCAAGCTTGTTTCTTCTGTGAGTGCATGTTTAGCAGTTACCAAATGCCTAAACTTCTGCTTAAATCTCTCCTTTGTGTTAATTTTGTCCTAATCCACAAAGGAGGAGTTTATGCAGTTCTGCTACTCAGTAGGTTAAAGAGACTTAAGAAAGTGGCTAGGACTAACATTTTTCAGGTAACTAGTTTTGCCACTATCTAGTATGGAGTTGGGGTAGGATGGGGAGAAGCTTCCCCCAGATGGATGAAAATATTTTGATTGCCAGGTTTGCTTTTTTTTTTTCATTTTGTTTTGGGGTCTTTTAATTTTTTTTTTTCCTTCCTCTTTAAATCATGGCAAGACATCCAAAACCTGCAAAAGATGAAACTGTTACAGACAGAAAGTCTCAAACAAAACATATTTATCTGGAAAGCCAAATCTCTTTTCAAAAGTGCAGTTAAAACCAGAACCTAGTCTGATCCAGAATTCATGCATAATTCTACTAGGGCTGGGGTTTCCACCAAGCGCATGAAGAAATTGTGGAGGTGATGGAGCAGCCAGCATAGGATGTTTGCAGAGCCTCACATACTGATGAAGAAACTATTATGCTCCCTGTTCCAGCTGGGCTTTTTGTGCCGCTGACATCATTTTTGCCTGTCCAGTGTGTAAAAATCTCTCAGGTATCCTGAACTGCATCCATTTAACAAACAGATACCCTGGGCGATGTAGACGCTAGGAGGGCTGAAAGAACAGGGAGAAAAAGTATTGGCTTACTGCTGATGTGTCAAATATCAAAAGGAGAAAGGCTTTGACTCTCTTCTGTCATCCTGATTTATTAGACGTTAAGAAAGACAAAGTACCCAGACACGCAAACAGCGCTGTTTTGGGACGGTCTGAGAAATGGTTAATGAGCTTGTTCCACACAAAAATGTAAAGTGTCGGTTCTCTGATTACCTGCTGCTGGAAAGTGTTTGGACAGGTGCTGTGTTTCACCAGCCGTCTGTCTCAGCTGACAGCCCGGATTTATGGCCGTACAACTAGGGCTGGCCTTCCAACCCCCCTCGACTCCTCTGCCGGCTCTGGTCCGAGTCCCGGCCCTCCGCCTCCCAGCCCACTCCGCGGAACTGCCATGCAGCTACCCCAGCCCGGTACCCGGAGCAGGATAAGAGTAGAGACCCAGCTCCCCCTCCTCCCTATTATTTTTCACCCCATATATTCACTTGCATGTAAACAAACTGTCCCAGCTCCCTTGCTCAGAAACTCACGCATGGTCTAAGCAATATCGCAATGGGGCAATTTCCACCCGAAGGTCAACAGTGGGAAATTTGTCCCTTGCCTCCCTTTCAGAGAATGACGCTCAAGCAGAGGGAGGAGAAGACCCGGCCCTTTCTCCAGCCCTGCCATCGACAGGGCTCCGGACAGCGGCGGTGCTCGCTTACCCTCCCACCTCCTCGCCTGGCGGTCAGGGTGCAGCAGGGTCCCCTCAAATACCCATCCCAACCTGCTAGAGAAACCCAAACAAGCACTAGGAAAGGACCGCGAGGACAGAGAGATCACTTACAGATACTGTATAGATCCCTTATACTAGGGTTTGGCCGTAGGTTCAGCAATACATTAAAAAAAATCGAGATTTATAGAAGATAAATTCTTATTAACAAAGGCACGTCTCGAAATCTGTAGGCTGTCTTTATTATTATTATTATTGCTGAGTTATTTTTTAATGAAAAAGTGACTTTTCTACAAGTAAAAAGCCGAATGTCATCTTATTATACACGCGTTCAGCCCTGTTCACGTTTACGTACCTCCGATTAAATACACGCTTGTGGCTGTAATAACAAATTCCACTTTCCATCAAGGTGCTTTTAACATACCCTGAAATATGACCATTTACAAAACGACAAACCGAAAAATATTAGCAGTTGCATATTGACGGCTCGTGGACTCCTAGAAAGAAAGACGTTAAAATACAAATTAGAGGAGAGGGTAAATTCTAGAAGGGTAGATTAATATTTGCACAGAACCTTGAAGGCAGAAGGATGTCGAAACAGTGTGTGTGTGCATGCGTGTGTGCACATAAAAACCAATTCCTTCAAGGGCTGGATTACTTCATACATTAGTCACTAATCTCCCGCAATGTTCTGATGAATGTTATGGTCTGAGCTAAACGCACCGTGAAATCTGCTTGAGCTTTATTGAAACAAGTCGGTGTTTTTGCCAGCAGACTCTTCGGTTTGAAGCTTTCTTTTCCCAACAAACCTTCTCTACTCGCCACAGCTTTTGCGAGCAGGATAGAAGGGATTCAATAGCTGAATCCCGCACTGAAGGAAAAGGAGGTGGGGAAGAAAGTCCGAAACAAGAATAAATAGAAAAGAAAGGACAACCAGCGCCCCAAATTCCGCTTGTCACCGTTTGTTTAGGTGATCTGTGCTTACAGAAGACTTGGAGGGGAAAAGAACCCGCCTGTTGCTATCCTTTTCTAATTAAAACAAACAAACGAACAAACAAGCCCCGAGTTATCATTTCGGCGTTTGTTTAAAGCTCTTCGAGCCCGGGGACGCTACTGAATTGTAATTCAGTACCACCGGCAGTTAAAACCCCATCCTTTCCTTTTTCCGACTCAGTCTTCCTGAGGCTTTCCTCATCACTTCTGACAGGACGAATCAGCCTTAACATAACGCGTGTGTAAGCTGCTTATGACCAGCAGATATTCGAGAACGTATCATCCCACCGAAGTTCCGCCCACTGTAGGGGCCAGCGCGGCTGCCTCCGCCGGGAGCAGTTGGAGCCCGGTAGTACCAAGGATCTTCCCGAAGCGAGTTTTCTTTGGATCGAGGGGTAACAACAGGATTACATTTTGTGTGCTGTCCCTCGGGGGAAACAAATGAAAAAAAAAAAAAAAAGAAAAGGAAAAGAAAATACTACTAATAATAAACAAGGAAGGCAGATGCTCAGGACTTCCGCAGACTGCCCTAAGTCGGGCTACCTGCCTGCAAATCCGCCTGCCTGAGGCTCGCCAGCCTTTCTCCGGGGCTGAGCACCGGCGGGAGCCCTGATTTGATTCGAGGAATTGCAAAGGACTTCCAAAAAACCTGGCGGCAGCCCAGGAGGAGGAGGACATCTCTCACCTCCCCCAGTCAAACCAAGGTGGGCCCGTTCGTGGCCCAGCTGCCCGCATGAGGAGGATGCAGGACGGATGGGAAGGAGCAGGAGGGCGGCCCGGCTGTCCCGCAGCCCAAGCGCTCCCCGGGAAAGGCGATCGGTAGGCTCCCCTCCCTCCACGGAGGCACAGACACCACGCTCTGCTCCTTATTAATTACCGTCTTTATTTAGGGGGGCAGCCTTTATTCGGGGGAGAGGAGAAAGAAAAAAAAAACGAAGGGGGAAAGAGGGTGAGAAAACCATGTGGCCGAGGGTCAATAAAATGCACACGCACATACATTATATACAAACACAAAAATAAAATATGAAAAACAAAATTTCTCTTTCCAGTAGCGGCGGTCTTGGCCTTAAATGTACAACGCCAACCAGCACAGGAGACAACGCCTGACATTTCCTTGAGCCCTTGCCCCATTCCGCCCCCCAACCCCCCAGAACAATAATTAATTAAAAAAGCTGCACTCTCTTTGTGTTAAAAACACTACTTTTATAAATAACTTAATGTTCTCCCTTCCCACGAAATGCTAGTTGCCGGACAGGAGAAAAGGTTTCTTTTGGCACAGTGATGCATTGCTTTGCAGTACAGTCCTACGGCTCTGCAGCAGCCCCCGGCCCCCTCCCTTTCTCGCCCCGGCAGGAGCCTCCGGCCGTCCCCCCAGACGCACAGCGTACCCCTGCGCGACTGCCCAAGGCTTTGGTGGCAGGAGGTGCAGGGGCAAGGGGGAGGGTGGTGAGCAAGTGGTGAGGGAGTGGCCGAAGTCAAGTAGTCTCAACGAACAGTAAGAAGCACTTGAGGCTCATGGCTATGTCCAAACCGACAGCTGTTTTGGGATTTTTTGAAATTTTTCTTTTTTTTTTTTTCCTCCTTTTTTTTTTTTGGTTTAAGTTAACCCCACTGTCATATCACTAAGGCACAGTCACCGAGGCTTTTGCTTGGAGGCTTTGGTCGCCTCTGGAGTTAAAGTGCGGGATCCAGAGCGTCCTCCTTCCCCCCTCCCCGCCTCCCCAGGCGGGCCCCTTTCAGGGGAGAAGGGGGGCTTCGTCAAGCCAGGGGGGTCTCTACAGCGTACGGGTGGAACGCGGCCGAGCCCCCCGCCGCCGGCGGCTGCAGCGGCCCGGCGAGCCGGAGGGGCCCGTAGAGAGGGGAGACGGGCGGCGGCCCCCGCCCGCCCTTGGGGAGGCCGACGGGGAAGAGCGGCGCCCGCGGCCGCTCCGCCGGCGTTGGCTCACCCTGGGACAGTGCCTGCCGCCCGCCCCCCAGCAGCAGCGGCGGAGGCGGCTCCCCCAGCCCGTAGGCGCAGAGCTGGAGGAGCCCGCCGCCGTACAGGGCAGCGGCGGCGGACGCGGCCTGCGCGGCAGGTGGGTAGGGGAGCAGCGGATAGGGGCCGGGCAGCAGGTGCGGAGCCGCGGGCGGCGCCGGCCAGAGGAGGCGGGCGGGCCTCGGCGGCGGCTGCTGCGGGGCGGCGCGGGGCCCCGCCGGCCGCCTGAGCAGGCTCTCTATGGCGAAGGAGCTGGAGAACTTGGTGCCGCTGCCCCCCGCCGCCGCCCCGCCGCCCGCCGTTGCTGCTTCCTTGGCGGCGGTGCCCGGCCCGCAGTTGCAGGGCGAGCAGGCGCAGCAGCACCGCGGGGATCCGCCGGGGGACGTGGCGCCCGCTCCGGCCGCCTCCTGCGGCGGCGGTGGGGCGGCGGCGGGGCGGGCGGGCTGCGGCGGCGGGGCGGCGCGGCTGAGGCGCTTGCGGCGGCGGCGGAAGACGCCGTCGGCGAAGGTGTACTCGCTGCTGGGGTTGAGCATCCAGTAGTTGTCCTTGCCCCAGGGCCGCGCCGGGTCGCGCAGCACCTTGACGAAGCAGTCGTTGAGGGAGAGGTTGTGGCGCACCGAGTTGCGCCAGCCGGTGTAGGCGCCGCGGAAGAAGGGGAAGCGGCTCATCAGGTAGTCGTTGATCTCGGCTAGGGTGAGGCGGCCGCCGGCCGAGTCTCGGATGGCCATGGCGATCAGCGCTATGTAGGAGTAGGGTGGCTTCGGCCGCCGCGTGTAGGGCTTCCCCTTGCCGCTCTCGGTCGGAGGCGGCTGCGGCAGCTGCGAGGCGGGGGGTGGTGGCGGGGGTTGCCCCGGCCGCCCGGCCCCGCCACCCGGGCTGTTGGCGGCGCAGTCACCGTCCGAGCCCAGCTCGCTCTCAGCCGGCGCCGGGGAGAGGGAGCCGCTACCTTCCTGATCGCTGCCGGCGCTCAGCTTGTCCTCGTAATGCTGCGAGAACACCTCCAGCTTCATGGCGGCGGTGCCGGCTGCCCCCCCGCACACGGCGGCTCCGCTGAGCGGGCGCGACCCCCGTCCCTCGGCGCGGCCTCAAGGGGCGGCGGGGAGCAGCTAGGCTACCTGGGGGGGGGGGTGTTTGCCCCCGCCCCGGCTTGGACAGCTCCGCGGCGGCAGGCAGCGCAGGGCAGCGGGGCTCCGCGCCCGCCTCACCCGGCCGCCCGGGATAGCTGGCAGGCGACTGGACCTTTCCCTGCCGCTGGACGCCGAAGACAGGCGTCGGTACCCTGCCGCCTGCGGCGGCGAGGCGGAGAACGGGGCGCTTCCTCCGGCTTCCACCTCCTTCTCCCCCACCGGGGCGCTCGCTCTCTTTCCGCCCCCCTGTTTGTCCTTCTCGGTCGTTACGCCCGCTGCTTCATGGGTCGGAGGAGAGGGGCGAAGAGGTCCCCGCGGAGCCGGAGCGAGCAGGCGGGTGCTGGAGCCGTTTCCTCTCTGGGTCCCCCCGCTCCTGGTGCTCCTCAGGACGCTGCCGATGTTACCGTCCGGCGCTCCTCCAGCGCGGGGAGCTCTCTGGGGACGTCTTGTCTCGCCGGCTTCGGCCCCCGTCAATGCCGGGACGCCGGGCTGACTTCTCGCTGCGGCGCGGGCAGCAGCAGGGTTATTAGGGTTATTAGTGTTATTGTCATTATCTCTCTCTTCCCCTGTGGTTCTGTGCCTCTCCACCACTTTCAGACCAGCCCATTATAACGCCGGCGAGAGGCGGAGCCAGGACAAAGATCTGAAAGGGTGGTGGGTGGAGAAGCAAGGTAGCAAAGGTGGGTATGCGCTAATAAGCGCTATCAGAGCCGTAATTAGCTGAGATGACAGCGTGGTCTTGTTGGAAAGTTATTTTACGAAACTTGTTTGTATTTTCTCCTGCCAGGTCCCTCCCCTTCCCGGGCATTTCGAATGAAGCCGCTGTTCGGCACGACTTCGCAGAGCCGGGCCCGCCTCCCAGGTGTAAACTGCGGAATGACTTATAGGTGGCAGAGCAGAACCTGTTACGTGCAGTGATTTATTTTAATAGCGCTGTATATAGCAACAAGTTGTAATGTGACAGCTCAACAACCTGTTGGAAAATAATGTACGGCTTCGCAGTTGTGAATTCCTAATGATTTATGTAGCCTGACAATGTCGTTTCAGTCCTGGCCCCTCGTCCTTTCTGTCATAACCATACCTGGTGCAGGGGTGAAGTGGGAACAGGTAGGCAATACGATGAGCTTTGCTAGGAGAAAATTAGTCCAAACCTTAACCTTAGTTTTAAGTGTGTTAACGTGTATATAGTAGCATTGCTTCATCTCTTTTGAATTGTGTGTTTGTAGCTTCTCTGACACTGTCACTCTCCAATAAAATATTTTATTGTGATTGCTTTTATCTATTTATTTAATAGTTATGCTGCTTTAACGCTTTTTTTGCACATTATGGATCTAGATTTTCTATAAAACCTGGGGCAAAAGTATTTTATAAGTTCACCTGGACACTTTTCTTTAGTGATGATTTTGGGGGTTGTTTTTTAGGTTTAAATTGTTGGGGTCTTACCCTCCAGAGATTTTGCATCCTTCCACAGTATGCTGGTGAGAACAACTCAGTGAAGAGAGCCATGCAGCAATAGCTTCTCTGAAAACTCCCTCTTCAGTCCTATGCTGCTCGCTGTTCAAAGTCAATTGCAAAACACCATTTGACTTCATGCGGCAGTAGTGCTAGCGTCTGCAAAACAATAACAAAACAAAAACATCAGCAGAAATCTAGTGTGGTGCTTATATTTTATTTCTCATATGTACACTTTGAATTTTGTGTCCTGGAGTAACAGTTGGATTGCTCCATATTTTCCAAAAGCAGTCTTTCTAAATCAGACCTTATTTTAGGATAAATACTTAATGCAGAGTTGCTCTGGTTAGGACTACACCGTTGTGGTCTGGCTCTTGAAGAGTGTTGTAGAGGAACATGAGAAAAGGCAGGTTTAAAAGACCAACAGAAGAAACAAAGAACACTGGTTTCTGTCTCGATCTCTCTTGAGCAGAATATACCTTCCCACACACACCTGCATTTTGTTTCAATGCTTTGCCATTTCTTCTGTCTGTGTGAGTTTTAAATAGTAAATACTGAACAAGGAGAGGTTCTTCTGTCCTTCTGGTCATACTCTTCCAAACTTTAATGATAATAGGCTTGATATCTTCCTGTTCTCACTAAAGCTGTACCAGTTCAGAAACTCTAGCAATTCAGAAAGACAAAAGTAAGAGGAGGGAGACCTCTCTTGGTTCCTTGTTGTTGTTGTCTCCATGTAATGTAAACTGAGATCTTTCAGTAAAGGGTTGCATTAGCTGTAGGTGCCAATGTTTATGTTCCAGGGTATGGGGAAAAGCTATCGTTCCTTCCAAAACTTGTATTTTCTAAGATGATGCCAATGGCGAGGGTAGGTTTTTTCCTCTTCCTGCTTTTGTTGTAAATAGCACTGAAGTAGTGATGATTTGCTAGCTTACCTTTGATGTTTATTTTATTACCGTTCCACTATTTGTGTGGAAAATGTACACATTGTCTCTTATCTTTATTCAAAGAACTTAAAAAGTCATTCAAATGCTGTAGGTAAACACGTCAGACATAACAGAAGCTTTTTCACAGCCGTACTTCAAGACTAGGAGTGGATGGCAAAGCTGGTTTTGCAAGATTCAAGAGGGGACAGAAGCTTGTGCTCAAAATAATACAAAGCTATTAGCAGATGGGAGCAAGGATCCTTTCTAAGATCAGCACTGATTCTTGTTGTGGCTCAGGCTCTGCCTCTGATCAAGTGCCTGTTGTAAACTGGTCTTTGAAATCTGTGGTGGATCTTACCTGAGAAAACAAATGAAGGTGCTGATGTGAAGGACTGTGTATGGTTTCAATAGAGCCTTCCTGGCCTGAGTGAGAGCGGTGTCAAGTCTGTTGCTATTGCTGCCCATGAAACAACGAGCAAAGTTGTAAGAAGTGTCGAAATAGTCCAACTGCTCCCATCTCTCACCACTGAGAGTGTGTGTAACCTCAAGTCTTTTCCTGCTATAGTTTTTTAAAAGGCACAGTATCGCCTTCAGGTTTATAAAGATTAACACAATCATCGGAAAAACTGATTCTGTTAAGTAAACTTCACATCAAAAGCACTTTGATGTGCTGTATTATAGTAGAGCCAAACACTCCACCCCCATCACCCAAGTAAAACCTCCAAAAACTTCTAGTGAAGCAATGTCAAGAAAAAAAAATCTAATTCTTTGTTCTGAAATGAAATGTCTCTTCCTTTTTAAGGCAGCAGAGCAAGACTTTTTTTGATGTATGACCCCCCACTTTTCCTACCTAAACCAGTACCTAATCAAAGACAAAGGGGAGAAATGTGAATGGTTGCTTGAAAATGATGCACTCAACTTTGCTGCCCATTTTCTGTAGTACTTGACTCATTTAATTTAGAAATAGTGAGTGTGCCAATGGGTATTTGGAGGTAGAGCAGTGTAGTCCTTTGCAGTTTGCTTGAGCTATGAATTCTAAAAATATTCCTCACTAAATGTAGGAAAATGCTGCACTGTCTGGTGGTTGTGGGTATATTTTCGGTTGATTCAGTTCTAACAGAATGCCTCCATGGTATTTTAAACCATGATTTACTTTAACATTTCAGCAAACAGCGTGCAAAGGTGTGTCATGCTATGGTCTTACTTTTTTTTCTTAGTTTTTTTTATTTTTCATCCATCTTTTCTGCCTTCTGTCCTTTCAGACTGCTACCTAGATAAGAGAGGGCTTCCACATAGGATTGTATAGGCACAACTGGTCAATGAAAGTCTGTCTGTGGTGACTGGGAAGGCCCTATAGTTACTGGTAGGCAAGCTTATTAGTACATCTGAGATGTCCAGCACACCAGCTGGACAAAGCACTTCATCATCTCTTCTCCTCCTCCTGTAGCAAGCTCCAGGAGTTCACTGCCTTGCAGGAATGATGAAATTGGACAATGCAACACACTACATGAGCAACCACAGACCAGTTCAAAGAGTTCTCTTTGGATGGGCTGCTCACAGCAGGAGATGTGCCTAGCATGCATAAAATGAACTACAGACTCTCTGAAGGTTGGCTAATTGCACTATGTATATTTTTATAGTTAAAGGAAATCCAGCTAGAGACTGAGCGGTAAGAAAGGAGCTTAGTGGAAATTCATTTAAACCTTGAGAAGAAGCGTTTGATCACTGAAGCAGAATTCATGTTTGTGTGAATTGCAACACTGGAACTTGGATTTGCACTTTTGCACAAGGACAGCCATTCCCTGTAGGCAGAGGTTTTCTCATATCTTTGGCAGGTACTAAGAGCTGAATTTACAATGGGGAGTTCCATTTCAGCTTTATTTTATGCAGTCTTTATTTTCTTGGGAGCTGTAGTTCAGAATGAAATTTTTCCATGCCAAGATCTTAGTATCACTTTTCTGTGCCCGCTTCATGTCCCATAAAGAAAGTCTATAAGCAAATTTGTTTTCTCCAGTGTACTGGATTGTAACAGATTTTGGCAGGGACAAGTTTTCTCCTGTGAAGATGACATTACTGCTGTTGTTACTAATTCTTAGTACCAGAGAAATAATTCCTGGTTCCTACACCGTCCTTTCCACCCAGAGGTCTCAGAGCAATCTGATTTTATAGGCAGAAAGGAGTGAAAGGGAGTCCTCCTGAAAATCATTTGGGAAGTCGGTTGCAACCCTGTCTGTAGAACTGAGCTGTTCAGAGTCCTTGTCCTGTACTGTCTCCATTGAGGTATCCACCATGAGGCCTTGTGAGATGGGTTGTGCCATTTAGAAAGGAGCTGTCAAAATGGATATTGCTCTGTCCTGAGACTCACACAATCTATAGCTAATTCTCTTTTTTTACTAGCTCTGTGTTAAGCCTTAATGGCTTGAAAGAGCTCCACACCATCATAAGATGAACCTCTCCGGAATATATTGCAGGTCTGCAGTCTGAGAAAGTACACGACATAAGAGAGTGCAGGGTAAGGAGTGAGGTTAAGTCAACACAGTATTTACAACGTATTTTGTGATGACTTAACTTAGTAACTGTTCCCACAGGCTTTCCTCATAGCTGTTAACCTGGTTTCATGTAACTGCACCAAGAGAGAGAAAAATTCAAATGGTGATGGACTTATGGGTCCGTCTTAAAGGAGATTATTCTTACAGGAAGAAAGAACCTGGTATTGGAAAGCAGCACAGGTACTGATAAGTTTGGTTGTAATTGTCAGGACAGAATTGCTTGCTAAGAGACAGGCTTCACTGCAATTAGAAGTTGTGTTATGTTTGTTATGAAGTTATGATGCAGAAGCCATTTGGTAAAATTCTGTGGCTCTCTGCCAGGAATAGGGAATGTTTCTTGCTACTGGTGCCAAGCAAACTTAAAAAGAAACCATCATAGCTTGTAATTGCTGGTGCCAGACCAAATATCTGTTGGCGCCAAACTTGGTATTGATGCCAGAGGCTTGCTATCACTGGCCCATGATATGAGGAAACTTTTGTCTGAGCTGTTACAATAGCTTCTTACTGGCTTAAAGTCCATGCATTGATAGAGCAGAGTGGACAACTTTGTAAGAGAAGTACAGTAAAATTAACTGAGAGCTGAAGGGCTTTGAATGTGTGATGGAGTCATTGAACTTTGCTAGCCCTTCCTGGAGTACACCTAAGCCAACTCAAAACCGCATATATTTTACATGGGTAAACAAGTGACTAGA